AGCTGAGTTTTTAGATATCTATTTATAAAAATGCGAAAGGTCCCATATATTCATTTTCATTCATATTTCATTCAAAGTAATGTTTTATGATTGGTCTGAACAGTGAGCAATCACTTTTAGAGTTCATGAGATATATTAGGTAGCAGTCAAAATGGGTTTCTCCATAAATATGAAGCATTAAATACTTTTCATGTCATAAAATCTTTTTGGCCTTTGACCTTTCAGGACCTCAGTATCGATATTAATGGCATTAGCAAATTCTGTAGATGTTTCCCATTTTAAACTTATTTTATAATATTTTCTTTTAGTTCTTTCAGAGTTCCAAGCATACTGTAAAAATCTTGGTCATCAAATTCTCCTTGTCTGTGGTATTTTCTTTCTGAAACCCATATAGAGTGGTCATAATTAAATGTGAGTAATAAGGTCAACTCTGACTGGCTATTTAGCTGGGAGAAGTCCAAAAAAGGGATTCTGAAGATACACTGGAGTCAAATTGTAAGTATTGAAAGGTAACAGTAATGTGCATTTTCATTCCAAATCTAGAAGGTGAACAATCAATTCCAAGCTAACATACCACCCATTATTTTCTTAAATACATTTTCTGAGCATTGAAGTGTACTGTATATTAAAAGCGCTTGCTATCATCTAAGCATCGCCGGTCCATTTATCATTTATCAATTCCTCCTTATGTGTGCTGTTGAAATTGAGGCTAAGTGGTTGCCTTCAAGGATTTTTAAAATTTCATACAACATATTTCATTTATGGAAGTGAGTTTACAACTATATTTAGAAGGGATTTGTCAAGAAGGATGCCTTTTCTTCAGTGAGTATTATTCTGCTTGTTGATGTCTTAACAAGAACACAATAAATTGTTCCTCATTATTCAGTAATTAACTCAAACTGAACTCATCCCACTGTGCTTCGCCTTAAATCATGGCTCCCTCCTCCTGCTGAGCAGCTCTTTAATTTCCTCTGAGCACCAGGGAGTGTTTCCTCCCTCTGCTCTCAATCACATTTTGGCATTTGTGCCATTAGGAGTTGAAACTCCCCATGTCTTCCAGGGAATAGAAAGCCCTACCTTGCTCGAGCGACAGGAAAAATAGAAAGAATCTCAAGAGTCACAGTCTATAGAAGAAGGCCTTTGACTGAACCTCAGGTTGTTTGGTTTCCTTAAAGGTTACACTAGGTGTAATGTGCTAGAAACCACCCTGACACCTTGACAGTCTTTTAGCATATTTATTTTCTGGTCTCAATTCAACTGCAGACAAGTCCAAATTAAGGATTTAAATGTGAGATTTAAAGGTATCATAAATTTATCATAAATTATACCTTGGCAGATAGTTGTTTTATTATAATGACAGATATCCTAAGCCAATATTTTGTAACAATATGTCAAAACATTTTCCATCTGCTAGGACAGGGATGAGCAACTCTATAGTCTTTGTAGACTGGAGTCCTGCAGGCTTTACGGAAACATTTTGATAAGCCGATTAAAGCCTAAAAAACAGGTGATTATACTTCTTATTCAGATAGTTCATTTTGAATAAGAACTATTGAGCAATTAATATTAGAGGTGAGATGAAAATTAGACACTCTTCAGCCCTCAAAGACACAAACCTAGAATATGCAGTACATTTTTTGCGAATTAAGTGGTTTTGCTAAATTAATAATTAATAAGTTGTGCATAAATTATTTTATACTTATTTATAAAATAAGTAAATAAGAAATATGTTAAACATTTTTTTAAATTAATTGACTTAATAGAATGTATAATACATTTTACATGAAATTTGTGTTAGATTTTTGTCCTTATATTCAGCCTGGCTTCAATTTGCTGCTGTATAATAATAATATAATAAGAGCTTCATTTATAGAAGCAAAATTCAGTTCAAAAGCATTACATTTATGTTTCTATCAATGCATAAAGTTTAGAATCCTTAAAGCATTACACTTCCAAAAACCAGGATTATAGATACAAATGAATCGGTCCTCAAAAGAATTTTGTGCAAGATGTTAGTAAAAATAATGTTTGAAAAAATATTCTAAACACATCATGTTAATATTTTCCCCCAGGACTCTCCTCTTGGATTGCTGCGGAGATTTCTGATGGGAATGGCTATTAGTGATGTGTGGTTTGGAAGGGAAGCATACCTCATGGTAATGAAGCTGTTGGGAACGAAAAACAAACACAGAAAATAAAAAGAATAAGAACACAAAACAGCACATGCTGTGAGGATTTGAATTATACAATATTTTCAATCTTCTGTAATGTGATAAGGAATACATTTAGATCTTTATTCCCTCTTTAGATGGAAGACGGTTTAGACACCACCAGCTGTTTCCTTAAAGACGAAAGCCTATTGACTTCCTGTAGGGTTACGTCAAGATGCTTGATGTCAAACTACATGTGCATCCCTAGGTCCTGAGCATCCACCTCTCGTTTCTTCTTTCTTGTTCACTTGCTCCCTCTGTTATCAAAACTTTTAATAATCCTACAGTATCTGACTTTTTAATGCTTCTATTTCCCAGAGTCATTGATGCTGTGGCAATTTTCTGAAAATGTATTTCTTCCAAAACTCCTTGTCTTCTGTGCTGTAGCTGCTAACATAAACCTACTGTGTTTATCTTCCCAGAAATCAAGGCCACTCAGTTGTTATTACTTCAGCTTTCTTCGGCTTCTTCCATCTGAGAACACAGAAATGCACATTTTCAGATCCAGAGTCTTTTCTTTCTGTGCTTCATCAATGCAGCTCAGATGTGACTTCAATGTCTTTTAACTAAAATTAAGATTCAGCTTTACTTTCTATTTGTTTCTTCTTGATACTTTCAAGATTTAGTTTAGAACTTTGAAAAGCACACCTGCGAGCAAATGGAAGCAGCAGTTGGCAGAAACCAAATTCTTAAAATTGCAGGCCTGTACTTGCCCATAATGAGCAGGTAATTTGACACAGTTTCAATAAATTTAAGCCATATGTAACACAGATGTTCTTTTTTAAAATCTATTTATACAGACACACATTTTACGTTCAAAACCACAGTGGGCTGCCTGAGTATTTTATGACATAGTATTGATGGGAAACGCTTTTTTTTTTACTTTTACATGTCATATAGCAATCAAATTAGTAACAAAAAGTACTTTGTATGAATGCAGCCATAATACAATTGAGCATAAATGTTATTACACTCCTACAGAAAGACTGCTTGTCTATGCAAAGCAAATTAAAATGACTTTCTGGAATCCTCTAAGAACACTTTTTGCTGGATTTTTTAACATGTATATTATCCACCTGATAATGTCCACTTATTAAGTTCAACTCAGGATCTCTGTGAGACAGAGCTTGACCCAGCAGGGTGGTCAGGATGTACCCTGAATGGGATGGCAATCTTCTTTTCAACATCTGTCCATCCATTTTCTAACAGCTTCATCCCGTTGAGGGCCGAGGGATGAGCTGGAGCCTATCCGAGGAAGCAACGGGCACAAAGCAGGGTACACCCTGATTGGGATACCAGTCCATCTCAGGGCAGACAGACACAGGCACAAACCTACACGGTCACACCAGAGCCATTTTTCCCAAAAGACAATTAACCTATCTATGTCTTTGGACTGTGGGGGGAAACCAGAGAACCTGAAGAAAACCCACATGGAAACAGGGAGAACATACAAACTCCACACAGACAGCATTCCACATACAGAATTGAACTCATGGCCCCCAGCACTCCAAGGCAGCAATGCTAATCACTGTGTCACCATGCCTCCCTCTTTTTCATATGTGAATTAAAATACAGTATGAGCTCAGAAACAACAGAATGGAGCATCAACAGTCAAACCACATGCAACATTTGTACCATGCTCATTTTATTAACAGAACTAATATCATAACATCACAAGCAAAAACAGGAAAAATACTGAAATACATATGTATTTGTGGAGGTATCTTGTTCCTTTAACAAGTTTCATTCTAGAACAGACAGCTGACACTACCATATCTGTCTTCAACAGGAAAAAGTTTTGCTGAAAAGTGTTACTTTTTCAGTGTATTTTATTTCACGGGAAGAATATATGCCCATAACATATTTTTAAAATGGAACACATTTTGATGAAGTGTGAGATTATTATCAGAAAGAATTCAAACAGAAACACAGTAAATTATTTTGAATTATTCCAAAAATTGATCTGAACTGTATCCAGAACTTTAGAGATGGACTGGCTAGACAGAGGCTGCAGGCATTGTTTGAAGCAAAAAATTAAAGATTTACAAGAAGACAGATTTACTTGTCAGACAAGTTCGAGTATTACACAGAATGATATTGACAGAATGATAGCTATAGTAGGGCAATCTTCTGGTATCTTAAATCCTGCTTAAAAAAACTACTGCCAAGCTGTTCCAGTAGCATTCCTTTATACTAACATACAGTATGCATTGTGCAGCAATGAGGTAATCATCAGGTCAATTTTCAATTTACTGTATGTTTACAAAGCAAACAGAGAAAAGTGCACATGCTGTACTTACAGTAAGTGACCTCTAATATCAAATAATTATTGTCTATCTTAGCTACAGTTGTAGTTCCACTTTAGGCAAACCTATGGAGAACCAGAACACAGATAAAAGGCCAATTCATAGTCCTCCTATCATTGCACAACTGGCTAAATGACTAACAATCCACTAAAAACCAACCAGGTGATCTTCATACTGTATCTTCATCCAGTCTTGAAAAGACTAACTGTGTAGTGTTTTGGATCACCCACTTAAAGACACTGCTTTGAACCACATGAAATGTTTTTTGCTACCTTTTATATGGATCCACACCAATCCTCTAGACTTCCAACTGCCACAGTATTGAAGCAGACACACCCCTCATATACCCAAAAGGATAAAAAAAACAGATATAGGATTTACAGGACATTGAACAATAGATACATCCAGTTGTATAAATGCTCTTAACACTGGTATTTAATCTACCTTATACACAAGTTGGTGCTTGAAAGATCTGGTACAGAAATTGTGCCTCACTGGTATTGTTTTGAATTATGCAAACCAAGCATACAGTATGGCCCTTCATCTGTCTTGAGTATCATACTGTACCTATGCTGTACATTGTGCCATGTTGTTGTGAATGACCCTTTCCAAATAACAACATTGCTGTGGCCACAAATCAACGATAACAAATCTCAGAGATCTCCATGGCCAGTTCCAGGCATTCAGTGGTCTCGTGACACGCATCAAACAAGCTGCAGTCGAATTCGCAGTTACAGATGCAGTCGCTGCTGGCGGTTTGATCAGTGGATGCATGCTGGTATTTGAACGAAGGGCAACAGAGACTCGCTGTGTTTTCGCACATGTCAGGCAGCATGAGGAGGAAGTCGGAAAACTTGCAGAAGAGGCAGGTCAGAATCAGGGTAGCACAGTCATCTGAAGAGAGGGAGCAGAGAGACAGGCAAGAAGTGAAACTTAGCATTGAAGTACCATGGTAATATACACAACATCTCAACAATATGACTCTCACATATCCTGACATTCGAATACTACCTCTCTACACACAGCTAGTGCCTAGAGGGGAGGGAAACCATTGAGCCTTATATCCCCAGAGATAATTTTTTTCTTGTGCAGTTTTTTGTTTTTCTTTCCTACATGCCTCATGTTTACACCATAACTCTGTAATACTTTAAAATAGTTCTATCCACTTACCCTCATTTCCCTTTGACTTGTTCGATTTTATAACTCTTGTCTGTATAGGCCCTGTAAATACTGTGTGAAAAATGCTTTATGGCAACTTGTGGCAAAGGGTGCTACACAAAAAAATAAAATTGAATAGAATAACAAACCTGGTTTAACAGAAACCTAACCATCCTATAAATCTCTAGATTCAATAGAACACGTGGGAAATTCATTTTGTTTTTTATCATTTCCTCCTGTAAGAAATGCTGAGCCCTAACATTTTTGCCATCAAAGGCAGAAGTTCAATATCTCCAAAAATGTGGCTTATTTTCCTAGTGAAAATGTTAATAGGCATTACCACTAGCAACAAGTCTTTCAAAAGTGCAATGGATATTCTGATAGCGTCACGTGGAAACTTTAGCCTTTAGTAATTCAGTCTTTTATTGATGGAACAGATTTTTGGTCTGTCTACAAAGGTCACATGAGACATAGCAGGCAATTTTAATTTGCAGAGATCGTTAATGCCCTGTTTACATTGACTATTTAAAATTCATGCTAATTAACTTCTGCACAAAAAATATATCAAGGTTAAACTCAAGTAGGTCGTAGCATGTAAAAAAAGTTTTAATTTTTCCTTTTGGACAACTCCTTTCAAAAACTGCACACAATACAGCAGTAAAGTTGCAGATGTCCTCATGTGGGGCTACTTTAATGAATTACTGAGGTTATGTGATAACTGGTTCTATACCCACAGCTCTTTACTACTTTACTAGAGAGTACAGGCTTTGGGATATATTTAAAAAACTAAGACTAAAAATTTGTAATAGCAATAATTTAAAATTTATCATTGGTTTTTATGTAAATATTATGAATAGCCAAAGTATTCATATGCTTAATTTGTAAGATATAGGTCAGGGTCAAGCAACTTTATATTCCAACCAAACAGAGTTGTGCCTTTTATACACATATTATGGACACATTTTGTTACATTTCTCAGGTGACCAGTAGACCATATGGTACTATTCAAATGCCAGTAATTTTAGAACAAGTATGTTTAAGATTTTTCAAGTATGTCTTTAAATCTTACAAAAGTTGTACAAATTACATTTTTAAAATGATTTTTATTTTTATTTTTGGGATTGCTTATTAACGATCTAAAAAAAAATTGAACTTATTCTTTGAAAACTTTGAGTATATCTACATACGCAGTATAGTATATGCAGACCATGTCAGGTAGTGTGGCGTGAAAGTGCTGTATATGGAGCTTTATAAAAAAAGAGAACTAAGAGCTAAGAGGATAAACAAGCAAACAAAGTGTCTATAATGTGCAAGTCCCATAGCTGTCAAAATGTCAATTTGTCTTGACAAGAACTGGACAGCTACTAAGAATACTGTTCATCACGTTTAAGAGCTTCTCTCCCCTATATACTGTATTTTTTAAAACATGCATAATTTAAGAAATCACAGTCTTTTACTTCCTAACAGTAAGACAACTATGGAGATTGTTCTTAGACATAATCAATTAACATCAACCTCTAAAGTCAATTTTAAAACGATCCTTTGCAAGTTATGGTAATGCTGTCACATGGCAATATTCAGAGAGCCTTTCATTTCACTTGTCTAATGGCTGCTGAGGAACACAAATCAGGACAACCTATCAGTTGTCACAAGTGGAAGGTTATAGGTACACATTAAAAATAGCTGAAAAATAACAACCAAGCAGCTTTAGGGGATGTAATACTTTTGGGGTTGTTTACTAGATTGTGCAGAAAACCTGTGTTTTGTGAGTTAAAAATATGTTTTAATGTAAATGGACTTTGAAGTTTAGGGAGACATCTAAGCAGTCATCAATCAGGTTCTCAGCCTGCATAAATAAATGTCTACATGTTTAATATTAATTAATTAATTAATTGGTATAATTGTATAATTGGGTTTTGATATTTGGTTAAAAAAAAGGTTAAAATGTTGCACAGTTTCTTAACTTTTGAGTTTCAAGAGGCAAAAATCACTTTTGGTTCATATTCCAGGACTAATGATAATTATTTACCAATAAGTTATGATATAGTATCCTTTACCGTAGCTGTGTTTGTTTCAAAATATTTATACATTGCCATATAAACGTATTCAAACACTTACTATTTGTTATTTTGTTTGTGAAGTTATAACGTAATAGTTTTTTAAACTTAATATTTTATTCAAAACCTGAAAGCTCAAACTAAAACTTCAAGGAATAAGATAAGTTACAGCAAATGTCAGAAAAAAAACTAAAGAGAAAAATATGAACTATTGATTGCCCAAGCACTCAGACAGCCTCAAGTCTTTCTGGGTCTCTACCAACTTTGTACACCAACATTTTTTTCCATTTTTCTTGGCAGATTTGCTCAAGCTCCCTCACGTTGCTTGGGGATTGCATATGGACAGCAGTTTTCTTCTCTATTAAGTTCACTGTAGAATTCAAGTCTGGAAGTTTGTCTGGGCCACTCAAGGACTCTCCTATTCTTAAGCCTGTGCAGTGCAGCCTTGCCCTTTGCTTTGGATCTTCATCCTGCTGAAACATGATTTTCAATCCCAGTTTTATGTCTGAATTAGGTTTACCTAAGATTTGCTGGTACTCTACCTATGTTCCCAATTTTTTAAGTTTTCAAAAATGCCACCCTGTCCCTGCTGTTGATAAGCAGAGCTACAACATAATGCTGCCACCACCACACTTGACAGGAGGGTAAGTGTTGACTGACTAAAGCACTATGTTGGGTTTTTGCCAGATATAATTCTTTGCATTTTGACCAAAACTTTTCAGTTTTACCTAGTCTGATCACAGATCTTTTTGCCATGTTTGCAGCTACTGTACCAGTATTTGCTTTGTTACACGTGGGATGTAAGATGTTTTTTGCCCCATACAAGCTCCTTGGTGGAGTGACTGGGATATTACTACCCCATGAACATTTTCCCGCATCTTAGACACTGAAATCTATACAGTAACTCTTTCAAAATCTGTCACTCTTGGCCCCACTGTGATACTCCTTGCCTACTCCAGTTTCCTCCTTGCCTAGCTGCTCAGTTTGCAGGGCCTCATCTAGGATCTAGGATCAACTTCATCATGCTCAAAGAGATATTAAGGGACTTGAACTTGAAATGTTCTTAAACCCTTCTCCCCATCAGTGCCTTGATACAATTTTGCAGCTCATGAAAACCCCTTGGTCTTCATGGTTTAATCTTTGCTTGAAAATCACTACCTGACTGAAGGACCTTACAAAAATAGGTTTATTTCTTTCTAAACTCATGTGAACCACTATTATGGTTTGCAGACAGAGGCCACTCAACTCATTGTGTGGCTCCTTAAAGGTAATTTTGTGCACCTAATTTAATTTAAGTTTGCCACAGCAAAGGGTTTAAATACTTAAGCAATCATGATATTTCTATTGTTTGTTCTTATTAATTAGCTATTTATATTTTGCTTTTAAAGTGGGGAGTTGATTCTGTATATACAGTAGTACATGCCAAGAACTCTTTTAAAGTGTCATGACTGCAAACTTTAAAACAACAAAATGTGAAAACTGATTAAGGGTCCAAATACTTCTGCAAGACCCTATATATTGTCCAATGAATGCTTAATAGATTTATGCTTTCAAATTGGATCTTATACATTTATACTTGTTGTTTTATTCATCTTATCTGAATGTCTTAAATATACTAGTATACTAATAGAATTAATATTACACAAGTAATTTGAGTTTTTTATGTAACAAACTGTATTACAACTGTAGCAGCCTATTTATTAATGATAGCGTGTTTTTCTAGCTGCATGGTTTAAATCATTCATGAGGTTTAATAATTAATATTTTCAAAGCATATAAATGCATGTTTATAGCCATACTTAAAGCCATTAAAAACAAAATTAATCGTTTAGATCTAATCTGCAATTTTTTGAATGAACAAGATCACTAATAAATGATGACATACAAACATGAAAAAAATGAAGAAACAAAAAAAAACTATGGCTTTTTTTAAAAAAAAGGGATTTTGACTTAATTATATCTCCTGATAAACCCACACTACACATGTAGCCTTTGAAGTTACAGTAGCAATCAATAGCCACTAAAATGAAATTACAACAGAGGACTCAAATTGCCAAGTGTTTGCAATAAGGCCCGTAATAACATTTTTATTGATGTAATGCCAAAATGTAGATACTGAGACATACTTCCACTGTTGGGCTGATGGGTTGGTGAATTAACTTCTCTGGGAGAAAATCGGCCACTGTATCTATCCACAGAACACAAGGAATAACTAGATCTCCCCCATTCACTTCTTCCTAAAGGCTCTGGTGAAGGTGTGCCTGTACTGGATTTCTCCTCTTCATACTCCACAATTCCACCCATCTTCCTTGAACCTTCGGCTGGCTCTGCTTTCCATAGTTGGTCCTTGTTAGACGGATCCATGTTTCCTACTGTAAATGTTAAAGAAAATATTTTTAACAATTTTACAGTGTATATAAAACAGTCATACGTTAAATTATTATCAGTGAAAGTAGGTAGTAGTACAGTATACAGAAAATCTTTCCTATTTTTAACTCCTAAGGCTATTCAGTAAAACTGTTCGAAGCAGTGCTTACATTTCTTTACCATTGCCAAATATAATTTCAAACCCCCTGTCCCATGCTGGTGCAGAAAATCAAATTTCTTGGGACTTGGAAATGATTTTTAAGTTTACATTTTCTAACAAATTTTTGATATTATGTTAAAAGGACAATTCAGCTTTTTACGTTTTTGGATTAACTTGTATTAAGAAACAAACAGGCTCTAGCTTTTGGCAATTTCCATCAAGAAAACATGACTGCTCAAAGGAAAAGTGCTAACGCATTAAAATCTGAACAGGCACGCATTAACATTTAGATCCCAAAGATTTTTTTTCTTTTTTACAGACAGAACCAAACTGGGCATCCTTTTAAGAAAGTAACGCAATGATCCGACTGACAAGTATACTGGAGATGTTCTTTTTAATAGGGAAAATATTGATTGGAGCATATTATTTGGATTCAGTTACTTCTCCTCAAACTGCCAGTAGGTAATCTGCCAAAGCATAATGAGGAATGAGCTTTATTTTACTATCTTCATTTCTCTGCACTTCAAACATTTAAACAACCAAGTTGAAAGAAATCCTGACTCCTTACTGAAACTTTAGCCCACACAGAAGACAAGCATAGGCAGCACTGACAGCTCTTAAAAGCAGCAGAATTGTGTGCTTCAAACAGCAAAAAAAGCACAAGAATATGATTAATACATAAGATGCTGACAAACAACCCCATCGTCTAGCTTGCCTGTTTCAAGGAAGCTAATAAAATGGCCATCTTCTATTAGAGGTGAGATGATGGCAAAGGAGAGAATCACATCATTGCGCTGCTTGTCTTTAAGAATGGAGTAATCAATTTCACTTTCTGAATGTGTACCTATTTATTTAGTCTAGATAATGCAATTTGATTAGATGTCCACCCATGTTTTGGATAATACAGAAAAATAACCACAGGATAGAACTTATCATAATGTTTGTGACATGCTGTCAACCCAAACTTAAGAACAAAAGCAATGTATGTACTTGCATATTAAACGTCACTTACTATACAAAGATTAACTGACAAAAATACCCCGTTTCCAGGTAGTAAAGGCTAATATGATAATAACCTAAAGCACTTCCTCAAAAGTCTTTGGAAATCAAGTGTCATACAAAGATAAGGCAGAATCTTAAGACAGCTGCCTAGTACATCTGTGTACTTGAAACTGCCCTGGCCAAAGTCACTAACGATATTGTAATAGCTTCCGATTCAGGTTCTCTTTCTAGACTCATCCTTCTTGATCTCAGTGCTGCTTTTGACACTGTTGACCATGAAATCTTACTTTCTCGTCTTGAGACTATGTTTGGAGTTTCTGACACTGCTCTCAAATGGCTCAAGTCTTACCCCACTGATCGCTGTCACTTTGTCTCTTTTAATTGGTATAGATCTGAAATTGATCTTGTTAAGTCTGGTGTACCTCAGGGCTCAATACTGGGCCCCTTGCTCTTCAGCATTTACATGTTTCCACTTGGTCAGCTTTTAAGATCACATGGCCTGAGCTATAGTATCATTTCTATGCTGATGATACTCAAATATACATCCATATCAAACCTGACACTGATGTGGCTGTCAATATTCTATTTGCATCTCTGACATAAAAAACTTGGATGACTCAAAATTTCCTTAATCTTAACTGTGACAAGACTGAAGTCATGCTTATTGTCACCCCCCATTAACTTTGTAAAGCCAATTCTGTAACCCTATCTGTAGATGGTTCTGTACTTGAGCTTCAGTCTAAATTGAAAAAGCTTGGGGTGATATTCAACTCTGGCTTAACATTCAACCCACATGTGCAGCATAGTGTCAAAACATATTTTTTCACCTCAGAAATATCACTAGACTATGTTATCACTAACTGAGGCTGAAAAGCTGATCAACACATTTGTGTTCTACCGAATTGACTACTGTTAAGCTCTATTCGCTGGGGTATCTAAATCTACATTGAACAAACTGCAGTATGTCCAAAATTCGACAGCCAGAATCCTGACCAGGTCTAGTGCAAGTGATCCCATTACTCCTATCCTGGAGTCCTTGCACTGGCTTCCTGTCAAATTCCGTGTGAATTTTTTAAATCCTCATGCTCACCTATAAGGCTCTGCATGGCTTGGCACCATAGTACCTGTCTCAACTATTATCTCCCTACTCCCCATCTCGCAACTTCCGCTCTTCTAATTCTGGTCTCCTAACTGTCCCCCAAGCCCATCTACATTGTATGGGTGAAAGGGCCTTCTCCTGTTATGCCCCCAAGCTCTGGAACTCTCTCCCCAAGGATATCAGAAAGTCACCTTCTGAAACTCCTTCAAATCCAGACTCAAAACCTTCTTCTTTAGAAGAGCCTTTACTTAACTGGTTCCATTCTTTACCCCTCTGCTCCTACTATACTTAGTACCAGCATCCAAGGTTCCCACTGTGTATTGTAATTGTGTTTTATCTTGTGTATTATTTTTATTTATTGTTGTCATTCTGTAAAGCGCTTTGAGAGGCCACCTTTAAAGGCGCTATATAAAATAAAGTGTATTGTTATTTGCTCAACATGTCTGACCAGGCAAACAGGATTGAATAATAATAATTATAACAACAACAACAACAACAACAATAATAATAATAATAATAATAATAATAATAATAATAATCCTTCTTCTTCTTATTATTATTATTACTATTAGGGATCTTAAAGTGCTTTACATGCAAGATGGTGACCACTTCATTCTCCACTGAACTTCAGCACCAACCTGGTTGATGTGTGGCATCTACTAAAAAAAAACTAGAAACTGCTTCATGACTTGAATAAAGAAGAGGGCTTCAGATAGTGCAGATTGTACAAACCCTGTGGTGAAACCTTGAAATCAGTGAAACCTTGAACAAGCCACACAAAACTAAGGTGATGTGCTTCACCGGGGAACAAGAGGCTCTTTTTATACAAGGGGCTGTCAAAAGTGACACTTTTGACTGCTTCTTTCAAGAAAAGAGCTGAATGAGATCCTGAGATCAATGAACTAGCAACTAGCAACAAGATGAGCTGAATGGTTTTCTTGGTGCACTGTGTTCTCAGACAGCAGAGGTTGAAACAGATCTAAAGATTGAGAGTTGCAACAACGAGGAGGTAATACCAGGCAGGAATGAGCAAAATGAATAGCGAACAGATAGATGATTTACTGAACCAGTGTTCAGCAGTGCAGTGAACAGTGGGATAGACCATAATAGAGGCCTACATTAATACCCAGGGTTGGTGAGAACTCAAGTTCATCTTTCTCCTGAATGTTTGTAGGTAATGTCATTTATCCTTTAGTGACACACTCCTTTTCTTATTATGTCTGTATATTCACATTTACAGATGCTGAGTGTTTGGGTTTTTGAAGTGTAAGATTATTCATCCTGCCATTTTCTGACTGCTTATTCCAATTCAGGGTTGCTGGAAAGCAGGAGCCTATCCCAGCAAGCAACGAGTGGAAGGCAGGGTAGACACAGACACACACAATCAAACCACAATTCATTTTCTCAGAAGTCAGTTAACCTTACAGTTTTTTTTTCTTGGTCTGTGGGAGGAAACTGGAACACCTGGAGGAAACACATGCAAACACAGGGAGAACATACAAACTCCATATAGATAGCACCACATATCCAGAATAGAAGGCAGGGTCCCAGCACTGCAAGGCAGCAATGCTAACCAGTGTGCCACCAGTGCCGACCAATGAAGTTTATATTTTATATGTGTGTATAATTCTATAAATCTAATTTCCTAAAACTAATTTTATTGTAGTCTGTTGAACAAGATTTTCCTGCTTGGAATGTAGACAATTTTTGCGTGAGATCTGATGATCAGCCTGGACTGCCCAAAGCAGTTTTGTTTTTTGTACGGGTTAACAATGCTTATTCTTCTTAAAATCTGTGTAGAAAATATGTTCTGCCAGTTAATAAATCATAAGACATTAAATGTTAAATAAAAGAGAAAAAAGTGTAAATTATTCATTTAGGAAAGGTGGTAGAAAATAAACAGGGTAGTGCAGCCACAGCAATAATTCATTAATAGTCTGCATTCAAATCTGTCTATAAAAAGCAGACTAATTATTGAATTATTTCTAAGCACAGTTTTAGACCCTGAAGGCCGAATTTATTTCCCATCATCCACCATTCTCTGCGCCTGTGTTTACCACTGCATAGGTCTGCAGCTATCTGGAACTGAGCACTCCACAGTAATGAACCCAATTGGAAGTAGATGGGAACACACACTATTTTATCATTTAATTCAGAAAATAAATGCTTAAATAACACCCAGATATAAACAACACATTTCAGCATTAAGACAATAATTATGTGGTCTCTGTGGCAAAACATGTTTTTTTTTCCCTCTGATGAAGTTTAACATTTGCTTTAAGTACACTTCCAGTGTTTCAACAGCATCAGCTTTACTGACTTGTAGCCTGATCTCATCACATCTCAGAGCTCTGCTAAGCAAGGCTGGTAGTGGACAGTACTGGGATCAAGACCTCCATGACTCTGTAGTTCAGCAAGTGAAGTTCTTCTTCAAGAACTTTTTAGATGGGGGACAATGTTGATCACTGGCTACTTTTTCCTTAAAGATCCCATGGTACCATTCTTAGCTGAAGAGTAAGAGTTAACCCCAGTGTCCTGGCTAAATTTCCTCTGGGTTGACTTTGTTGCATTCCTGAATAGGTCCCCTTCTAGCCTATGTCAAGACTAGATAGATTAAGTTAGTTGGGCCTTATAACTGTAAGACAATCCTTTAAGATAAAGAATCTACTGATTTTTTAAAACTTTGTGATCGCAATTGTACACAATAATCTAAATAAGGTTTTATGGGTGTGCTGTACGATTTT